CTAACATGGAAACCATTAATTTTATTCATTAATACATCATTTTGCTGGTGCCAGCAAGCAATAAGTAAATCTATCTTCCCATTAAGATTGTGTTATGAGTCCCTCCCATAATTTGTTTACGCAGTATGCCATTTTTGCATCTGCATGCAATGCCATTGTTGTTTATGATTCTGAAAATTATTGTCAAAAGAAAGTACAGATCTACAGCAGTTTTTCCTTCTGATTTTTTGCCTTTTTGCATATATAAAGCTTCATTTAAAAATGTACAGTGTACCAGACTTATCAACATGTCAGCTTTTATTTACTTTGTGACCAATTTTTCCAAGAATCTTGGCCTTGTGTTGTCCAACAAAGAGTAGATTGAACTTAAGAATTTTCCTGTCTGTTAAATATTTTCATATTTGCTTAGATATTCTCATTGTTGATATATTGTGGAAACGTTTAAATAAATTTCCCTGCATGCAAGAGAAAAGAGTTCATGAATGAGATTGAGAAAATCTTCAACTTGTGTAAGATGCCAGATTGATAGTACGAGTACATTAAACTTAAACATTTGAGACAATTTAGCATTTTTCAACAAGAGTATTGCCTGAAGTATTGAAAATGCTTTTATCCTTTAAGACTTTCGTTAGATCTAAGATATTTAATGTGTTATGTACAGTACATGTGCATGTATTACACCTAGCGTACATGTGCATGTAAGTGCTTCATCTGAAACACTGATAATATGGGAACTGTTAGTACATGAACATTATCTTTCTTATAACAAGACAACTGTGAAGTACATGTAGGTGGTCCACAGGTCTTTGTAATCTTTATTTTCCAGTACCAATAGTGTCCTTGTTCCCAGCAACCTTGTTAAACCCTTTTAGGAGTGAATATCATTTTCAGCCAATCTTGCACCCGGACATCTTTAATTTTGAATGTGAATTTCTGAGGTGGATTTGTTCAGATAGATTTTTCAGTATTTGCATCAGAGGAGGTACAGAACACTTGCACCACACCTGACTGTACATGTACATGCATGTGAAACAGTGGCCACTCCATTCATGTACATGTACATGGAGTGATGCAGTTCTTTTTGAGTCCAAGTCCAAGCTCTTGGTTCTTAATGATCAACCCAAGAATCTGGTGTGCATTGACTTTTTTTTGCACCAACCTGTTTTGTGGTGTTGTTTGCTTTTTATTTAGAGTTAGAATGGTGAAGTGTGTAAAATTGTTGCAATTAACAGAATTGCTCATTTGAAATTGAGTCCAGCTTTGGAAAAAAGACCAAAATATTTATTTTCATGTCAATTATACTGGTTCCGGACTTAATATTGATAGAATTCAATGTACACGTATGTATATTCGCTGCACACAGGAACAAGTTGGTCACAGTTCTTGATCACAGTTCTGAAATTGAAAATTCTTTGCATACAGCAAACCTTTCCCATCCATTTCAAGTTGTCAGTATCAGCTACATTGTGATGGAGATGAAACAGACCTGTTTTACAGAGTTCCAATTAGATTTTCACAAGTGTCAAAAAGAAACATGAGTGTGCATATACTTGTGACTAACGTTGGAAAAAAGGCCCTGTTTTATGTCCTTAACAGGTGGCACCATTGAGGTCCTGCATGCATTGACAGAGGTAACAAAAACATATGGAATCAAGTGCTTTTAATTGTGCACTGCACTAATTGATATTTTTCAGAATGTAATTTGAAGTAAAGGAGACCATCCTTTTGAATTTTCTATTCAGGCAATGGACAAGATGGTTTACGTAGCCTTGCAGAACACTTCAGTGAGCATTTCATCGAAATGTGTCGCCATTCTTGATCCTGTTTCAGGGCAGTAAATTAGATCAAATCAATCTAGGCTGCCCTTATGGAGGGAAAAAACCTCTTTCATGTGTTCAGGGTCAATTAATCAGAAGCTGCATGCTCTTGTATCTTTAAACATGTTTGATGCAAGATATGTGTATACATGTAATGTATTGTGCCTCAGGAAAAATATGCCACTCAGTTAATTCATCGCCTATCAGCAAAAAGAATGGATCAGTCTGTTCATTACTTTTTGAACATGAGTCAATCAGATAGAGCTGAAATTGGTGATCTTTTGCACTAGTCACAGCACAGTTTTCGAGTGCTTTGGGATTGGCCTGGATTGTTCGTTGTTTGTTTTGCAACGTAATCTACAAAATATAAGCACTTTGATCGTGTTGTTTTTCTCTTCATTTTTTCAGCGGGGCATTGTTTCTTAACATTCTGATACAGTGTATGTGGGCCTAGTTAACTAGAGGTCAGTAATTTTTTTCTCATATTAGGCTGATTAAAATTAAATCCTTGTTTATCATCGCTCAAATTTATATTTTGGGGCTGGGAGGACCTTCGATATTTGATATTTCAAGTTAGTATTTTCCAGACTTTTCAGTCTAAATATACCTTTCTTGTACAATATTTGTTCCATATATCATAACAACAGGATCAGATCAATCGGTCATACATGTAGTTGAGGGCACAACTAGAGAATTAAAAAAAAACAAGACAGTAATGTTGAAAAGGGTGGGAAATTTGTTAAAAAGTCGGAAATATCAAATATCAAAAAAAGTTGGGGCAGTAGGGAAAATCTGGTCAGGCGGTGATGAATTAATTTTAATTGGCCTTAAAAGCTATGACACTTCAAGCAATTACTCAAATATAATTTACTGGAAATATAGGAACTGAGGGGTCTGCATGAAGTATGAAAGGACACAAGTACCCCTAAAAGACAAACACCAAATTTGAAAGAAAACAGTTGTCACTTTTGTCTTCCCAACAAACCCCTCAATTACCTTTTTGGATGCCAAAAACTGCCGTTGTGTGCCTGTATTTTCACTGAAGAATGAGCAATTGAATCACGTTTAAATTCAGTAGATTGACTCATTTTCACCCCTTAACATATTAGGTTTTTCCTCACATTACTTCAGTATGGCAAAGGAACATCCAGCCTTTAGTATCTCTGTCACAGGTTATAATGCACATACATGTAAATGTAAAGTCTTCTTTTGCGTTCCGTATTGCCTTGGTTTTTCAACCACTTGCCACCGGGGTTTCCGGTACCGGACACATATTCTTTATATGTGTGGCTGGGGTCTCAGAAATCGGACAAAGGGAACTGGGTCTTGTAACGAAAGACCGTACTTGTAACAAAAGACCAGGCTGCTGGGCATTACCAACATTTTTTCACTTTCAATAGTGGAGATAATTCCAGCCTTGTTTTGAAACAGTATACCACGGTTGTAGGGATTAAGCGCGAGCGGATTACCACCGGGGACAAAAGCGCTCCACCACTGCAGCAATGAGCCACACAGTACCGCTGCACGCTAATCTGGCCCCTATTAAATAGAGGTCAGCAGCGCACTGTGCCAGTTTCTTGAACAAAAGAAAATTACATAATACTGCAAAATCTGGGCTCTTTTTACAAAGTGGCAGGCCTGGCTAAAATACTCCAGCATCAATAGATGTTGTCTGTCCGATTAGAATAGACACCAGACAGTCCTTCGTGTGGGTGTAAGTGTCCAGTAAATGAAGATATGAATTTCTAAAGAATTTTGAAAACAGGAAAAAAGGATAATCATCCCGTCCCACTATCATCAACATTGATAACTGCCACCGGCACGAAGTGGTTAAAACCTTTTTTCTAGTCTGCTGAGTTATTTGGTAATTGGTTAAGTTTATTCCAGGTATTCAGTCCCTAAAGGGGCTGTCCATAAAGTATGTGGGGGTGTGTGTTTGTGGGAGGGGGATGTTCTCATTGCAAGGAGGGGAAGACCCCTGCAGTGCATATGTACCGTACTTGTATGCAGAGCAATGAATTTGCTTTTAATATTTTGCTTGAAAATAATGTCCATTTAAATACCAGCATTTATAGGTTGAACATTATGAACATAATAGTTCGCACATCCACCGTTTAGATCTTGTCGGTGTCAGCAGAAGTGATTTGATAAGTGAAGGGTTAAACTGGAATATGGAGGCGGAGGAGGAGTATGGGAACAACTGTGTGGCTCCTGTAGATTCTCTCCCCCATTGTCATTGATGATTAACTGCAGACATGACATTTATCACATTCCTGTATTGTGTTAGAGAAGCCAATGTGATTAAGTGATAGTTCAACCCTTGTCTGTACTTGTAAGTGCCTTTTGGACAAAAAACATATTTGCGAGCATCCAAGTTTAATTTAGAATGCTGCTGGCTTATTAAGAACAGGAGGTAACGAGCGTTCATCATCTCACCGGTGCTTTCTGATACGCCCTGTTTAATTAACAATGCTTTAAGTCAGATGCAAAAGGGTGCAGGCAACCATCATCAGCTTGTGATGCAGTTGCTAGGGACTAAATTACTAGGCACACATGGCCATGTTTACGGATGATCAAATTCTCATTAAGACTGCCTGTTCAAACATTTTGCAGGCTCTCTTATTAGGTGCAAAACCAAACAAAATGTCATGGATCATCTGTGCTTGAAGTTATGGAGAGGTTTTTGCTGCGCTTGAGGGGTTCCAGCGTTATGGAGTGTCAAACAGACTGTTGTCAAGAAAAAGCCCTACTTGCTGGACAGTAATAATGACTTTATATCTCTGTGCACTACATGTACATGTATATTTTTCTGTGGCAAAAAAAGCGAAATTTATTATAGAAGAATGGTAACAAACTGGTACATTATGCTTGAATATTTTGTTGAATATTCACTGTTTAAATACTGTCTGCAGAGAATACCACAGTGGGCAGTGTTTGCTGCACAAGTGCAGAGTATCACTACACTCCTATTGTAAAGCTAAGACTGAGCTTTGCTGCTCATGTGTGCTTTGCTTGAAAGCAAAAAGATATATCTGTGTTCCTGCTCGTATTATGAAATTTTCAGTTCTCTTTTTCTTTGTCTCAAGTTCTTCAATTTTATCAGCTGGTCCTCTGTTGCTCGTTTAAGTTTGTTGATTCATACCAAGTATCATTTTTAATGTCTCTTCCTTTGACTTTTTGCAGGGTCAACACTAACGTCCTGTCAAGATGATGAGCATGCGCACCAAGCAACGGCCCTCACAGACCTCGATCTCAGGCCCCTCCCGCTATGATCGAATGGCCGCTCCAGGACACATCCACAACATGAACTCCAAGATCAACTGGTCGGAGTTTGTGGAGGAGAGGGTAAGGTTTGAAAGTTTCTTTGTAGAGCTTAATTAATCAAAGATATTCCACAAAGTAATAATGTGAGCAGGCCACAACTTTCATGATGGGCCCCTAATTAGGCCAGTTCAATATTTTAAAAAGACATTTGTGGTTGAAAATAAAATGTGTTCAAGTCTGCATATGTTAATGCTGATAGAGCAGACCTCATGCTTTTATTGCTATTAGATGACCTTGGATGCACCTGGTACTTAATGTACCGGTAATTGTGCTGTTGGAACAGCAAGCTGGTTAATTCTAGGCAAGCAACTCATGTTCTCTGCACATTCTGTATGTCCGTATGCCATGCAATTGAAGTACATGCACATACATGTGACATGCCATCAGTTGGGAAACAACATGCACAAACCACATTAACCAAGACGGATATTTTGGTAATGTCTTTGAATTACTCGAGGATGTTTCCATCATTACATTTCAAACGTTTGGTATTGATGTTGCAGGTATGGAAATAAATAGTAAAACATAAGTTCTGTTTAATGTTTACAAATGTTGAGCACGGTCAGCCAAATTACTCCGCAAGATTGTCAATTCTGCCTGAAATTTCTAACTTTACTTCCCTTTTTGAAACAAGCATTCGCAACCGTGAATACGAAAAAAACGTAAGATAGAGCAATCATTCAAATATTGACCAATCGCACGTGCATACATTTATTAACTGATGGCGCCCAATATAAACATTGCTGTTTGGTTTTATTAATTAATTAATTAATGTTTAATTATAGCTGTTGGCAAAGGAGATTATACTTCGCCGACAAATCTGTGAATGAACCTGCATACCAGCATATATCAAAACTTGGGAAGAATCAAAGATAATTTTTTTTTCTGTTTTTCTTTTTGCACTTTTCGAATTTTTAAATTCTCTTGCCAGATGTTTTAGGAATTACAAGCTCCTTAATAGAGGGTAGAGATAGAGGCACCAATGCAAAGACTGAATTCCTAATTTGCCCGGTTCCCCTCACCGGTGCCCAGCCTCTCGGTTGCCACCTGCTTTCCAGCATCTAGAGTGGACTCACTCATCAAAGATCGCAGCAAAATGCAATTAATAAAGCTACCCAATTGACAGTATGAATGATGCCCTTTTTCTGGCTCTTTGCTCAGCACAGTAATTGAGTCTCGGGCATCTGGAGTGACCAAGAGTGGAAGTTGTTGGGAATGTGCCTAGGAGAAGCAGAAAAAAAATGGCCATCAATTTACTGAATTCGGTACCAAATTGAGAGACTTTTTGTATTTGATGTTTGGCTGCTAAGTATAAAGTACATTGCTCCAGGAATTTGCATAGACAAATAAAATGAGATTTTCTATGATAATTTAGCCTTTTAGAAGAGGTTTTTGTCACACTCGAGAACTTGGTAATTTAAATACCCCCACTGGCACCAACAATTTGCCTGGAAGAATGTTTTTAGGAGGTTTTTCTTTGTGGGCAAAATTTAGGGGGGTGGAAAGGATAGACAAATTTTGAAGATCAAATTGACACTACTGTACATGTAAGATTTCAAGCACAAGATAGAGAATTGAGGAATGATCAGACCTGCACAGCAACGTTAATTCCCCAGACTAGGTTTTATTCCAAGTACCATCTTGAAGTATGTCAACTGGTACACAAGCGAAAGTGGTAAGCAAATGTCATCAATAACTGGGGTATTGGTAAGCTGGTGTGGTTTCTTTCTAGTATTTTCTTTATCCAATTGCAATTATTGAACATAAGGTGGTTGTAGTGCATGACTGATGGATTGTTCCGGTTAGTATCTGTTAAATAAATAATGGGTGCTTTTTTGTTTCCCTGGTAACAGGAAGGTTGAAAAAATCTAATGAATAAATTATGGAATCAGAGTGCATTTTTGCTCAGGTTTTACAGGTGATACAGGTTTTATGAACCTTGCATGGACTAAGCTGGGTCCTCACAAGTTTACCCCGTTTCTGGAAAACAGTTTTAGAGGGATTTTATACAGTATGGTTAACCATAGCAAAAGGAAGACAAACAGCCAAGGAAACCAACAAGAAAAGAGTGTTCTTAAACCATCAATTTTTATTGTGCCATGAGTGTCACTTCTTGGCAGATACCAGCATGTTATGAATTTTATAGAGTACCACTGTTATTATTGTAAAACTTAAAGTTATATAACAGAAGCGCTCAAAATATACTCAGCTGAGTACTTTTCAACCACTTTAAAACTGGAAGAGTGGGAAGTTCTAAATTTCTTTTGGAATCTTACATATGCATACGTGTACATTTGTCGATCTACCATCCAATGCCCATGTTATCTAGCTTTGTTCCTTCCTAACCAATTCACTATTTAGCATATGAGCTTGGTACTTGACAAGTACTTGACTACAACACTGGAAGCTAACTGTAGGTGTACCAAATGCAGAGCTACATGTACATGTAGCTTCCTTAGTTGAGCTTTAACTTCTCATTCCCTGCACGGAGATACCCGGTACATTGATGGCATATTGGGGACAGATAGTTTGAAGTCATGTCTGTTTGTGAAGCATGATGAAATAAGACGGAACAAATTCTGAATGATGTACTCAGGATGCGACACACAAGGAGAACATAGGTGTACATACGCAGGTGATATACAATGACATTTTCTGTTACTAGTAGTGTGATGCATTTCAAAAAGCCATGGCAAAATTCATCATCAGCACAAACACATATGAGCCTGTCTTTGCATTGTCAACATGGAGCAAAACAAAACACTCATTTACTGATTTTGGATTTAGGTTTCTGGTGCCCAAGCTTTGTTGAAGCATTCCACAAAACAGACGCAAATAGCCGTACATGTATGTGTTTAAAGCCATACAACATTTTGAGTTTTCCCATAGGTTTGACCACAAATATGGATACCCCCAGCAGACTCCTCTTTCGAAAGTGAGTTAGTGCTCTAGTATTTTAATCTACCTAGCTCTTTGTTACCAACTCCAGGTACAGCTTGGAAAGACATAGTTTTCTTTAACAGAAATAGGAAGACATGCACAACTGTATTATTTGGAACAATACCTGGTTACATTTCTTGGGCTATCATGAGGTATTCTATGGGGTGTTTTACCCTGCAAAACTGAAATTTGTTAAAAACAAAATGAAGGTTGATAAATGGTTGTTACGCCGGTGTTAGCTTGCAGATGTTAGCACACATCTTCTTGACAGTAATAAGATGGGAGAAATTAGAAGGGCTGTTTATGTATAATCCCACATTTGCAGCTGTCCATAAAATAACTGAAAAAAATTATTGTTGAAAGGCATACTTGGTTTAAAGAACTAAATTTTCTGTGAAATTATTCTTTTAAGCAAGCTGTCATTTTCGAGTATTTCTAACAATATATTCTGAAGATGCATTTATGGAAATTGCCATTAGTAGTTCATTTTTAATTTGGCAAGAGCACAAGCACATGCAGTTGCTGTAATTTGTTGGTTCAGTGTGCAACACTGCATTGCCGCAATTAGCTAAATGAGAGCTTGTCCCAGATGCTGAATTTTAGCACAATTTGGAACATGACTCTGAAGCTTTTGATTTGAAATTGAGAGCCTGGAATACTGTTCTTCTAGGAATATGGCATTCAATGAGCTAAAACATCATAAGGTAAGTTGTAAAGCTTCCTTCTTTAGATTTGGGGCACTTTTGTGGCTTCAAACAAACAAAACACAGATATGACAAGTGAGAGAGGTCACTAATGAATTTTGTTTTTAAAGGAACAGAAGAATGGGAACCAGTTGCCAGCCATACCAGGTGGAAGTGGACTTAACAACAGCTTCCGGAAGCGTACACCTCAGTCAACGGCAGATCTAAGTGAGACCTTTTCATTCATACCGTTGTAGCTCAAACTGAAAGTCTTACACTGTTGATAACAATAAGATCTGTTTTAGCTCACCGTGCATAGAGGGTACTTTGTGACGAAAAAGGTTTGGCAGAGGTTATATATCCTGTCTCCCATTCTGTTACACCTCTTTTTAAACACAGAGCCAATATGGGGACCATATCCTTTGTGCCTGTTCTTCTTTACTTCTCTTGGCATTGTGTCAGTATGCAGTTGACTGGTGTTGAATATTGGATGCCTCTTGGCAATTATTGATTGAGCTGTGCATTTTTAACAATTTCCCAAACTGATAGTGTAAACTGGGGAAAGACTCATGGCAGTCAGGGAAAAAGTACTTTTGAAGGTGAGGGTCTCTGTAATTTTGAGGAATGAATAAATTAATGTTTCTCATCAGCGGCCAGTGACAGATTCACAATTCTGCCTGAAATTGAGGGCATTGACATTGATAAAGAACTGCGCGAGTCCCTCAGCGGTCCCCTGAAAGACGTTAGTCGCCAGCGCCTGCGAGCCATTAAGATCAGCTTCCGCCGCCTCAGCAACACGGACAACCGTATCTCTACCAAAGACGCACTAGTCGTGCTGGGGGAGCACAACGTAAAGATCTCCAACCGAACATATCAGATGATGGTGCGTAAGTTTGAGACTGACAGGGGCATGGACATCGAAAGTCTGTGGAGGTACATGGCTGAGGCACAGGCAAGCACAGGTTCGTTGTTAAGGACAGTTACTGTTGTCACATAACCTCTGGAATTAGCTTCAACCATTGTGTTAACCACAGGGCGTACATCATTACAAGATATTCTCTCAGTACTCTGTCTTGTATTTACAGATGGATTTTCAATATTGTTGACAATCAATTATATCCTATTACTGTTTATTCAAAGATTTTTGCAGGCAGGCAAGCAATCTACATGTAAATACATCAGACTGTGCATTCTGTCACAGAGTTGATTCCAATGGAGTAAAGGCAAATCAGCAGGTTCTGATTCTAGCAAATGGTTTTCCTAGTCTCTCCTGTATCTAATTGCTCAGGAAGAGACAGCATTCAGGCCATCAATCAGAACAAGCAGACAACTTCCCAACCACTGCAGCAGCTGAATGCTGAAGACATTGCCCTGCTGACCAGCATCAACAAGGCCCTTAAGTCCAGCAATGAGTACGACTTGGAAGAAATGCGGACGGTGTGCCAAATGAGGGACATCTCGAGACAGGGATCGCTCCCTAGAAAAATGGTATTGACAAAAAGTTGCATTTCCTTCCAATGCAAATCGCATCATTGCTTGCGTCACAAACTGACGTATAATTGGTAGTTGCTGCCCCATGAACCGTCTCGTCGTGTGTATATAGTCTATGAACGGTACGTCACTTTATGGTGGCACCAGAACTATCTTATACATCACTTCATTTTGAAACCGACAGTATGTAGTATGCAGTCACTGGAAGTTGCTAATTTTTGACTATTCCATACCATCACATGCTGGTTTCTTGTATATCCTACATCCTGTTTGACATTTACTTGCAAAGTGGATAAGGATACAATAGCATAAGCAGTAGACAACTCTTTTTTATCCAGGAACACAGGTTGAAGTATGAGTTTGCAACTATACACAATCCAACTTAAATGTTACTGTAATGAAGTGACTTGTGGGGTCAGATCATGAGGGTATGGGGGCAGTCAGCCCACGTGGGATGAGGTGTAATTCCTTGGTAGGGAAGACCAGTTGACTCGTTTTTGATACCAGATCCAAAAGAAATTTATTCCAGTAGAAAATAGTCTCAGCAGTAAATAATCCCAGTGGAAATAGTCCAGGTAGTAAATAATCCCAGTAGAAATAGTCCAGGTTGTAAATAATCCCTGCACGTCATCTTCACAACACAGAGCTACATGTACTGGTCAGCCATGTGCTACATGTGCCTGATCATGCATTTGGTCAGTGTTCCTTAAGCATCAATAGGCAAGGCAATCCTGGTGAGAGGGGATTCCCTCACTGTGCAAAAAATAGTTAGAAATGAGCTGTACTTGTCAGCGCCGTATTCTACGAAAGTAGTGGAAAGGATGACAAGAAAGAGAGTGGGGTATCTCCAGATGCTCATCAATATTCTTGAGTTCCTACGTTACATTTCTAATTATTTTGGCTGGTCCATCTCAGCAGTACACTGACAGTCTCTGCAAGCTCCATTTATTGTGTATTCACTTCAACTTTCTGGTCCCTCAATCTGAAATGCTGATGTGACTTGTTTTGTGTGGTTTCCGACTTTGTAGTTTCGCCGGATTTGTTTGGATCAACACTTACCACTGGGAGCCACCCTGATGCGAACACTGCTGAAGAGATGTGCCGATGAGAAGAATGGACTCATTGGGTAATCATGTCTAATGAATGTAACTCAGCAGATGACTAGCTACCGAGACTAGATTACTACCAGGAAACTTGTTGAGAAGTCAGTTGGAACACTAGGGGATGTTGTGCTTTGTCATGTCTGTACCTTTTGCCCATAGAGCTATATTAAATTAGTAGAGCGTTAACTTCTCCTTCTCCGCGTGGAGAAAATTGACACCGTCCTGGGCGCAGACATTTTGAATCCATTTGCATGCTTGTTGAACATTCAAAATCAGATGGAATGAATATAAATTATGTACTCTAAATGTAACACTGAATAGATACCGCCAAAATCCGATTTAAAAAGTCATGACAAAATTATCTGCAGCGCATACGCGCATGCATTTGTGTTGTTTATGCAGAGCAAAATGATACGCTCATTTACTGATCGTGCATTAGTTTTGTGCATTTCGGCTTGTTTACGCATCATTGTAGAATACAGACGCAGTTATAGAAATAGGTGCAAAAAAGCCGTACAAAATTTAGAGTTTCCATAGGTTTGTGTACAAACATGGATGCACCCAGCAGGCATCACTTCGTACATGAGTCAGCACTCTAGTTTTATATTTAGCTCCATGCTTTTGCCATACACTGTTACCGTCTTAAATAGTACACCGCCATGCATCCAACTTTTTTTTTTTTAGAAATGGCCCTCTTTGGCAAAAAAGAGACGGGTAGGTGGTAAGAACTTCAAATTCACACTACACATACACGAAGGCCATACATGTCAGCGAAAATTGGTTGTACATCCTCCGCACATCCCTTGCCATGTGGCATTTTTCCACCAAAAGAATCTCTGTCCCAAGTAAAGCGTGTCTTTCTTAAGGAAAACTTTTCATCCCTTGTTCCTGCATGAAGCAGATAGATATAAAAAGGCATTCAGGAACACCCAAGACAAGAGGTGCCTATAATGGGTCTGGCACCAATAGTGATCCTTGCTCTTAGCTTAGCTTCTTATCAGCGCCAGTGCCCTAGCTGGTTTTAAATCTTATATTTAACAACTGCTCCATCACACTTTCATTCCCCTAATACAAAGTGTATCATCATTACCAGGCATTTGAGTATCATTTTTGACAGTGATGTCTCTTTGCTGCAATACAATCATTGTAAAGCCTAAATCCATTTGAAATTATTTTTTTGTACCTGATAGCTGGCCAGAATTTCTCATGCTGCTTGAAAAAGGGATGAACTTTGATGCAGACCAGTACAAAATCAAAAAGAAACCTTCATCGGCGATTAACAAGCGGCAGCAGAGCCAGAAGAAGCCATCGAGTCCGAAAGCTTCGGCGCTCCTCTCACCGAATGATGTCAAAGTGAAAGACAGTAAGGACACTGGAAAAGCTGACCACCGAATAAGGCCCCGATCGCCCAATTCAGCGGTATCCCAGGAGGCCAAACAAAAAGACACTTCCACTAGTTCAACTGCAAAAGCACTCGATGTGCAAGGAACTGAAAGCTCAAATAGTCGGACAACTGCAACGCCGTCAAGGAGCAAATCACCAGAGCTTCCGCTCACTAAACAAGGGTCAAAGATCAAGGAGCCCAAAGAGTCATCAAAAGTTGGGGAGAAGCTGTCAGTCAAGTCATCTGATCCTTCTGGACAAAAAATAAAAACGAAGGACCAGAAGGACAGAGGGAAACCCAAAACATCACAGGAGGCTATAAAACTGGATGAAGGTACTTCAAACTTACCGTAGAAATATCAGAATTCCTGTGATATTTTAGAGGCCACATTTATTCAATTTGCCAATGTATTCCACCAAATTTCAAATTATTTCTGCTGCTAAAAGGTAATGTAGCTTCCAAAACATTGTTTGGAGATTTTTGGAGCGTCACACTGCTGAGAAGTAATTCAGTATGCTAGTTGACCTTCCTAGACTTGAAGGAACACTTGTAATTCCAGATTTTCTTTGTTTGAATCCCACTGCAGTCAGTTTTTTCTCTTCAGGAGAAAAATGATTATGAAGGCTTCCAAATTTTTTTTACTCCATATTGTTTTAAATTTCAGAAATGCTTTACCCTTTTACCTACAGAATACATGAAGTGGCCTTTTTTCCTGTTAAGGAATGGTTTGGATAATCATGGAAGTAAAATAATCATGTCTTAAATGAAAGAAATTACCATTTGAAAGGACTTGTGAAAGATTAAACTGGAGCTTGATTTGAAACAGCAGTTTCTAGAATCTATGCTAGCTGGTTCTCCTGCTGATGCCTTTTTGCATGGTATGCCATGGTATCCTTTATTCACTGTGTGATCATTGTGAGAATTTTTACTTCTCTGTTGAACTCATAAAGGTATTTTGCTTTTGCTGCTCTGCTTTGTTCAGATGTGTTGTCTGTGAAAAACTTGCCCACACAAAGGAAGAGCAAAGTCATCACATGGAACGATCCAATCACACTTTCTGCCAAAGCTGACCAACTGTCAGCCTCTGCATCAGTCACCATAGACCAGTCACCGTCCAAAACCGACCAAATTGATCAAGACCAGACTCCCAGTGCAAAGGAGGGTGAGGTATGCAAGTCACCTTTACCTTCAGATAAGACTGAGGTCATCCAAGCTGGTGACTCTGGTCAGACCGTGGAACCAACAGATAGTGTGCCAAACCAGGCAGATGGATCTCTCTTGTTGAGCGAGACTGTAGATGTTGGTGATTCTGCCCCAAGCCACAATCCTGACATGGACCCAACCGAAGAGGAATACCTGAAAAGGGAGCAGGAGAGAATAAATCGTGTGGGATCAGAACTGACACTGAATGAACCCAGCTTAGACAATGCAAGTATGAGCTCTGATCCCAAGGAAGAGACTTATCCTCTCGTCGATCCAGATACTTCCGCCGCGAGCTTAGCTCCAGCAGAAAGATCAGAAACTAAAACGATAGAAGTTGACCTGACCCTCTTGAATGCAAAGGACCTGAGTGACGAAAGGCAGGACTTTGAAGGGTCAGAGACTAGTTCCATTTTTGACAGAGAAGACACGGACACCCAGAGCATTACATCGGTCTCCTTGTCGACCAAATCCAAAGTTCAAAAGCAGCACGAGGCAAGTGAGAAGCGGATGCGAGCAATTTATGGGAAGAATCCACGGAGACAGTTGACTCCGCTTGGCAAGAGAATGAAAGACAATCAAAAGCAGCCTCATCGGGCAACAAACCCTGGAAAAGGTGATAGATGACGAGCATGTCATAGTTTGTCAATATTTCTGTTTTTGTTTTGTCCAACACGTTCTGTATGCACCAAATGTAGAGTGAAAACCGTTCTGTGTTAAAAACTGTATTGTGCTTTTGTCCAATCCCGTTACGTTGTGCACACTTATTCTGTTTAGATTATTGAAGCTCTTGCTTACAGGTATGTGTGTAGTAGTCTGTGATACGCAGTGCCTCACACTCAGCACGGAATGCTTTGTGCTGTACGTTAACATCTCTGGCTGTATTTTCATGTGGCATTTGCTGGATACAGACAGAAATTAAAGCAAATAATTTGTGTCAGTTTCCCATGGACCATTGTATTCACACAGTTTTAAGTTAAGCTTGTGTTAAAGGTCAATTTGCTTAAAGTCCGGACTTTGTAAGTCAAAGCACATTTAATCATAATAACATTGTTTGAAGTCTATGGTCACATCTGGTCTAGAGTCTGGTTTTTATACCTAGTCTGAATCTAGTCTTCAGTTTTCAGACTCCTACAACTTTTGGCTCTCCTTGCCTACAAAACATGGCCAGCTCTTTGCCAAACCCAGTCATGATGCCCAGTGAAAACGAAGCAGGTCACCAAAACCCACATCTCTGACTGTTTTAAAAGATCACTAATACCCTGACCATGATGGAGTATTGCCCGTGGATGCATTCCAAATTTCTTCCTTGTTTAGTAACTGCATGCCACTTCTGTTTATTTCTTTTGGAGGTGCAGCTGTTGACAAGTTAATTGTGAAAAGGAAATATTGCAATGAGACCATGATCGAATCACTTGGTCATAGGCGGCAGTAAAACCCTACTTCTATGGGAAATGGCAGTACAGGCCATTTACCAAGTGGCTTCCATAGGGACACATGCCAGCCACAGCTACTCACAAGTCATACAGACATGCATGGCTCAACAACTAAGCTTGCAGTACTATATCCTTTTGTATAGCTTCGTCAACAAAGAAGTCTGTGCTGAAAAAGACACCCAAGCCCAAATCCTCCGTGTCTTCTAGAGGAGGATCAGCAAATAACAAGGACCACAGTGCAGGTCCTGGTAAGGACAGCAGTTTAAGAGGAAGATTCCTTTCAACTTTTCAGAATAATTGTATTGCCTGCTGCAACTCCAAAGATGCTTTCATAGTGAATGCCAGGAAATCTACTTGAGCAATAGCCCTTGGTTGATGGGTCCAAATGATCACTGACTGCACTAGCATAATCTGCTAGCCAAATCCATGTGTATTGGAAAAACAATAGCGAACAACAACCTTGCATGGCCAGGTAATACGCAGATCAGCTGAATCCAGCTTGGTCCAGCTGATTTACATATCATGGTGGCTGAACGAGGTTTTTGTTTGCCCTTACACTGGATGTAGCTTACGAATGACCTTGTGGAGATTTTGGTTACTGGTACATGATTAATGCCTTGACCAAGGCTACTTCAATGTGAAATGCTGATTTGAGGCAACTGGTTTCCATAAAAATACCAGTACACTGTAGGGAACACAGCTTATTCCACAGTGGAGTCATTGAGTTAAATTTTTTATATCTCTGATATTGTTGCTTTTCCGCGGTAGTTTCTGCTCCAGCTGATGAACTTGATCTTCCAGAGCATGGAGACCATGAACCTGACCCAGAAACGAAATCTGTAGTCAGTCAGAGCGCTATGGATTCCCAAGGTATGTTTTCGTCTATTCTAAGTCGTATTATTTTCTCATGAAATTGTATTCATCTATATGCAGCTCCTTTACTGTGGTTATTTCTAAACATTTCCATTATCCTTCTCATCATCCTTCTCATCATTTGAGTTTGCTGCAAGATTCTCAGAGTAAGGAAGTAGGTAATTCATTGACCACTGTCCAGGTTGTTACATGTACCTTCTTACTGATAAGACGTGGCCTGTATGCCAATTAGATTTTTCTTGTGTTTCATACCATGTTGTTGTTCAAAATTATTTTCAATAATAAATAATTGTTGAAGATTTCACTTTCTTTCTGTACAGGTAACATCTTGCCCAAAAGCCACTCCAGTGCGAGCCTTAATGTGAGTGCTACTCATTTCCCAGATGATGGAGACTTATTGTCACAGCATTTGCAAGGTAAATCTTTCAAAATGTAGGAGGCATTTCCTCTAATGCCAACATTAAAGTAGCTTGGCACATTTGCACACAACCCATCTATTTTCATGGGCGTCTGTGGATTGCATTAACATTTTTGGAATAACGGAGAACATCACCCAGGTCATTACGGTGCCTCCTCGTATTTCTGCTCAATGCCTCTTTTTTGGACTTTTTCATCTAGGCATGTACATGGATTGGGTATATGTTCGTCATGAATGGCTACATGGTTGGGAATGATGAGTTTTGCTCACATAATGACAATCAATCCATGAACCCCTTCGCACCGGAAGGTGGCTATAGCCGCCATAAAAATTGCGATCCTCAGCCCGCTTTTCAGCTATTATTCTTGGCCCACGCTCGAGCGAACACGGTGAAAGAAGGCAGACCCTGGCTCTTGTGTACATGGTAATTGGTCTTTGTGTGTAGCCCAGAAATGAAAAGACCAATTTTGCATCATAATCACCAGCTTCACAATAGTCCCCACTTTGAAAAGAGGCAGCGGGAATGTGGAAGGGTGAGTAGTGCTGCATGCCACCGAACAATGAGCCTTTTCATCGTGTTATTCAAAGCGTGTAGAGCACACTGGGCCACAAACGGAGAATTTGCGGTTTGGCAGGTGACCTTTGTGGCCAAGCGAGGCTGGAATTCTTTGAGTCGGCTTTCGGAAAGAAATTCCCGCCGAGAAGGGGTTAAGAAAGTCACGTTTCTGTTTAGAGTCAGTCATAAGGTTGTGGCTTTATATTAGCACCAGTATGGCATTGTTGTTGTGCCAGATTTCAAGTCCACTCTAGGTTGATTTTTCTTGGTTACCCACAAAGAGATCTGCAAAATTCCTGTCACAAACTTGGTAACAAAGACAACAAACAGTACTCCATCTTTAATCTGGAAAGATGGTAGTGTAGATGAAAGTACCTGTAGAAGTAGTCCAGATCTGCATCTTTGGTCCAGAAGTTGAGACAGCCAATGATCCCTCACATGGAGGCACCTCACCACCAGCTTTGCCAGACAAAGTCCCCACAGAGGAGGTAGAGTCACAACCAGATAAGAGGGAGGAAGATGGGGAGAAGTCAACATTCACGATACGGGGACAACAGATGTCTTACTACGTACCTGATGCTTATGTTGGGAAGGAGTTGCCCACAGACGCTCCCAGTCAAATCCTGGAACTTAACTGGATGTAAGAATTTACTTCTACTCTAGAAACCTTTTATATTTCCAAATGCAAGGATTAATTTTTTTGGTACTGTTTCACTGCTCTCTTGCTGCTCTGTTTTAGCAAATTCTAAGCACTTGCACATAGTCCATGCATGCAGACGAAAGTGGTCCTCATATCTCCACCAATTAGGAGCTAGTTTTGCACTGAAACTATTGTTGAAATTCTTTTTTGGGGGGTTGAGAAGTTTAGAGGTTTTTTACTAAATTGAGAAATTTGCATTTTGCATTTGTTTACGCTAGCTATGGCTACCGCGGTAATGACTGTCGATGCAACATGTATGTCATCGAAGACGGCATTCTTGCATACTTCATAGGGAAGGTGGTGGTATTGTACAGCACACAGGAACACAAGCAGAGGCATTACACACTACATACAGCAGAAATCAAAAGGCAAGAATCTGATAGACTGCAGATAATTTGTGCATGGAGGCACCTTGTGGAGTTCATATCAACCCAGGAAATACAGTTTGTGTCAATGTAGATACCATTTTTATAGCAGCAGAATACCTTAAACAAGATCTGCCAAAAGGCCAGCATAAATCGTGGATGAATGATTTCCTGCAGCTGATTTAAGCGTACACGTACCCTGTCAGTTTGTCCTTGAAACAAAATCTAGAGTCAGGTCTGTTGGACATGAACCTGCATTTTTTTCCACTGTGATTGTGCCCATTTTTAAACTAGTATTTTGTGCAAATTGCACCAGCGAAGGCAACACCTTGACTAAAAATGCAAATTCATAGCAAGGTTTTCTTGCATTATGTCATAGTCTAGCAGTTCACAGCAGCAACATTATCTTGGCAAGTGGGCAAATGGCTGGACCAGAAGATTCTAATGTACAGGTAAGATATAGCTCCCTCCTAGTCCATCTTCCAGCGTACATGTAAAGAATTGAATTTCATTCATTTATTCTCCATGGATAGGAAATCAGAGTTTATTCAACAGTTCACTTTTTAGCTCCTGTATGAACCATATGATAAAAGTTGGCACTGCTGCTAGTAAAAACAGTAATTAGTTACTGTCTAACTTTAGTTCATTTCAATTCAGTTTAAATCTCTTATTTTTACTGATGGATCAATAGAATTATTGAACATATTCAAATTGTGTATTGATCAGCCTTAACCAACTGCATTTTTTGATGACTGAGTTGAAATAAATGAATAATTAATGTGCTTCCCCCACTCCCTCCAAAAACTCATGTTGGCATAATTCCTCATATAAAATGGATTATGAACACTACCATTTAAATACTGAGTCAAATGTTACAACAGCATAACAGTTAGGAAATGGCCGCTTATGTCCACAGGCCTGTATACATGTCTGGAGTGCCGAGACACTGGAGACGCTTTATGTAGCCGGAGAAGGTTACTTTGAGAAAGCGGTGCTGTGTGTGAGCTTCTGCAAAGAAGAGGTAAAAAAAAAATGCTTATTAAAAAGGCCAACCGCCTGCCTTGTCAGGACACATATGGACATTGTCACGTGGGCAGAAGTTCCAGTGACAGGCAGAAGCTTCGTACTCTTATTTATGTTTGTTTAGTTTAGGTGAGACTGAGTTGCACATTACACTTGATGACTAATTAACACACTCATGTGTAAGTACTGTAGACAAATTCTTGAAGCCTCCCTGAAGCACTTGGGACAAGGTATGCTTTTTAATGGGAGTACTTACATTTCTGTTTGTAATGGTGCCCTTTCCAAGATGAGTTATCCCAACAGCCAGACTGTTTTAACAGTCCCACTTCTAACATTCTCCATAGACCTCAAAGTGAATGAACATGTACATGTATTCTGTAAGAAGCTCTCATATTCAAGAGTTTTGAAACTATTATCAGACCACGATCCACCCTTCTTTTATCGCGATGAAATATTGAGAATTTTGTCCTACTTTTATCTTAGCCTTTTGAGTGAGTGATCTGTCTTTTTGCACTCTTTTTTGTACGTGACTTATTTGGAACTATATATCTCTTATTAAACGCAGGACTATCTTGTTGCTGTCGATGATAATGAAGAACACACAATGTCTGTGTGGCACAGCTCATCTGGAGAGAGGCTGGCTGAGAAAGTGGTAGGTTACTAATCATTCAACTCTTCTAATTTTTTCTTATATTGCTTATTGCATCTTAGCCGCGTCATACAGGCTAGTCATGCTGCTGCAGATATTTTGGGCATGGATTGCTTTACACTTAGGATGCACTTGTTCAGAAAAGACTCCTACGGCCAGTTATTTTGTACAGTACATCTGAGGGTATGGCTGATGCCTAGTTACTGGTACCACATATCCGATAGGTCTATAAATTCAAACTTATTGAATGTGCACGATATAGGCCAAGTTTGATCAGTGACAATTTGTTAACCGTTGGCTGATGTTGCCTGACGGCCAGTACATATTTCATGCATAGGTTACCAGTCAGAATCAAGCATCGGTTGACATTTTGTCACTGATCAAACTTGCCCATATATACCTGTGCATCCCCACCTCTCACCATTAGTTCATCATGCTCCAGAGTTGGATCATGACTGAGGTCCTTGATTCCAATCATAGACTCATATCACTCAAATGACACTGACTCAAGTCAAATGTACAAGTTACACTGACTTGAATCACTGACTTGGATTTCAGTCTAAATGCCAGTCAGAAGTCATACAGCTTTCGTTGATCATACCCTTCGGTTTGCAGCTGCTGACCGAAGTTGTTTGCCAGGTTGCCTTCCATCCCACTCACCCACACCAGCTGGTCAGCATTGGAAAGGAGCATCTTTGTTTCTGGAAACTGCAGAAGGAACCCTACACCATTGAGGAAACTATGATTGCCAACTATGAGGTCAGTCATACAGTTGTAAACCTTCTTCCATAATTGAGAACAAAGAATGATCTAGCAATTTCTTTTTGTCAAATCATACAGTTACTGTGTTTAGATAACTAATGTAAGTTGCTTTGATATTTTGGTCGATGCCTGTGGGGGATGTCTACTTATTCTCAAACTTGTAAAGAGTAATAATAAAGCTATACTTTTCCACACAGTTATAAAATATCTGACTTGCTTCATCAATTCAATAATTTTATAATGTAAAACAAATTTTGGTTTCACAAAATTAAAGTTTGCCATTTTTGTTGTGTTCCATGTTTCAATATCAGACTAAGATGAAAGCCAAGTATGTCATCTGCCTCACATTTCACCCAAATGGTGCTCTCTTAACGGGTGATTCAAATGGGACCATCTACCTGTGGCACAAAGATGGCAACACTATTGCTCACACTATAACTCACGCTCACAATGTAAGTACTACTGAGAATCGATTACGAGCTATCTCTGCAGATGTCCAGGAGCAATACCATCAGTGTTAATGAAGCAACACTACCCCTTGAGGTGCAGAACTGCAGCAAGACTAAAGCCAATCAAAGGAGCTCCTCTACTACTAGCGAACTTTAACTTGTGGAATCACAAACATTCAATCTCTTGCTTTTGTTGTGTATGTGTAGTCTGATGATAATGTGTATATTTATTTATCAACTATTAATTTTTTTCATTGCATGCAAATCCTGAGCTACTATAACAGAATGGCATCTTCAGACTATTCTTGTGCCTTTTGTTCCTTTTTTTGGCAGCAGATGTTGCACAAAGCAGTTTTTACTTAATGAGGTTGAACAGCAAATTCAGATTTCAAGACGAGTTTTGGGTTTATGATTGTATGCTGAAATCATGAATTGGCTCAAATCTTCGTTTTGATTCTTTAATAGCCAAACCAAGAGGCCTGAACTCTGGTTTCATGTTGGTTTGTCTTTTAGGGTCCTGTGTTTTGGATGATGTATGTGAGGAATACATTGATATCAGGAGGCCGAGATGGAATCATACAGACATATTCCCTGAGTTCCAAGGGAACTGAGTTCACTGGAAAAATGCAGGTTTGAAAATTTGAATCTTTTCAAACCTGATACCGACGTGTTAAGTTCTCTTATGTTGCTTATGGACATGGACGAGTGGATAGTATTGTTATTTTAGCCGTAATAAAAAGTTAATAATAATAAATAAAAAAATTATTGAATCATTAGATATCATTTTACGCCCATTGACATTTGTTTTGAGAGCTTTCGCATTGTTAAGTAATAGGTGTACATCACATTTGTGGATACTGCATTTGATTATATTTCCATTCCCTTCTTGTTTTGGCTTTTTGCTTTTTGGTTAATTAGTTGCCCAGTGTGGAAGGGGGTGTACGCACTATCCAGACGCACAGGAAGACAATGTACATTGGGACCACATTGAATTGCATCCTGAGTGCAAACATCTCTTTATCCGGGAGTGGTAGCCCCATCATCACAGGAGCTACTGTCAACAATGCTCCAATCACACAGGTGAAAAATCCAGGATTTTGTTTATGTCAATTGAATGTTGAGACCCTATCAAATGAATCCATCACATTCTTCTCCTGCTGCGATATTAAACAAAGCCCATCACTACTTTTTTGGTCAAAATTCAAAGAGGTATTTTACTGGGAACTTTTAAATTTTGGACAGAAAAAACTTTGGAAATTTAGCATTTATATTGCAGTGACAACACACAGGAAATTTAATCACTCTAAAAAGAAAACTGAATTAACCACTTCGTTCCGGGGCATTTTTCAACGTTGATGATGCTGGACCTGCATGACTATCATTTTTTCCGTTTTCAAAATCCTTCAAAAATTCATCAGTCCATTTAACGGTCGTTTATAGCCGCACAAAGTAATCTGTAGGCACTACC